GCACCATCTGGGGGATGGACACACTTGAAGCTCTGACTTGGGTGGGACAAGGGCAATATACGTAACCTGAACATTTGTACCCCCGTAATATGCTGAAATTTAAAAAAACTTAAAAAAAAAAAAAAGAAATTAGATCATATGATTATGGAAGCCGACAAGTTCCAAGATCTTTAGAGTGAGTTGGCAAGCTGGAGACCCAGGAGAGCCAATGGTGTAGTTCTAGTCTGAAGGCTGACAGGCTTAAGACCCAGAAGAAGCTGATGTACCAGGTCAAAGACAGTCAAGCAGGAGGAATTCTCACTCAGTCAGAGGAGAGTCAGCCTTTATGATTAGGGTCTTCGGCTGATGGAATGAGGCCCACCCACATTTGGGAGAGCAATCTGTCTTACTCAGTCTATCGATTTAAATGTTAATCACCCAAAAAACACCCTACTAGAAACACCCAGAATAATGTTTGACCAAATACGTGGATACTCCATGGCCCAGTCAAGTTGACACATAAAATTAACCATTACACTTGCCCATCACTTTAATGGATGAAATGTATCTTACTCCATTAGCAATATTTTAATCTGTACTAGGAGATAGATATAAAGGAGAAATATAATAAAAAACACAGAGACATAAAAGAATGGAGTAAGACTGTTATCAGATTGGTTCCAGGACACCCCACAGATTTCCCACAGATACTCAAGTGGCTTATATAAAATGATGTAGTATTTGTATATACATCTTCCTGTATACTCTAAATCAGCGGTCCCCAGTCTTTTTGGCAGGAGGGACCAGTTTCATGGAGCAGCTGTAAATATGTAAATATACGCACTGGTCCACCGCTCACCTCCTGCTGTTTGGCCTTCTAGTTCCTAAGTTTCATGGAAGACAGTTTTTTCCACGGAGGGAAGGGAGTGGGTGGCGGAGCGCTGTGGCCCGGTCCCTAATAGACTGCTGACCGACTACATCTTTAAATCATTTCTAGATTACTTAAAGTTCCTAATACAATGTAAATGCTATGTAAATGGTTGTAATACTGTATTGGTTTTTAATTTGTATTATTTATTGTGGTAGCTCCCTATAGACAGTATATCTGTTTATTTTAATGTACATATCTTCAGCACCTAGCATAGTAAACCTGGCATTTAGCTGTAACTCAGTAAATATTTATTAAATAAATAAATACATCTAGAGTGATAACTTTACCTTACAGAGCTTTTAATAAAAGTCAAATGAGAGTTTATGTAAAACTTTTGGAATATAACATAGGAGAAAAATCTACGTAATTTAGATATTAATGACTTTGTAAATACATCATCAAAGGCATGATCCATGAAACAAATAATTGTTAAACTATTAACAAATAATTGTTAAGAAGTTTCATTAAAATTAGAAACTTCTTTGAGAAAGACACTCTCAAGAGAATGAGAAGATAAGCCACAGATTGGGAGAAAACATTTTCAAAACACACATCTAATAAAAGATTATTATTAAAAATATACAAAGAACTATTAAAACTCAATGAAAAGAAAAAAAACAACCCGATTTAAAAATGGACAAAAGATCTGAACAGACATCTCACCAAAGAAGATATAGAGATGACAACTAAGCATGTGAAAAGATACTCATCATGTCATTGGGAAATTAAACAGTAAATGAGATTAAATTAAAACAGTAAATGAGATACTACTACAAACCTCTAAGAATGGCCAAAATCCAGAACACTGACAACACTAAGTGCTGGCAAGGATGTGGAACAACAGGAACTTTCAGTGACTGCTGGTGGGAATGCAAAATGGTACAGCCACTTTGGAATATAGTTCAGCAGTTTCTGACAAAACTGAACATACTCGTACGTATAATTCAACAATCACACTTTCTTCATATTTACCCAAAGAAGTTGAAAATTATGTCTACACAAAACCTGCACACGAATGTTTATAGCAGCTTTATTCATAATTGCCAAAACTTAGAAGCAACCAAGATGTTCTTCACTAGGTGAATGGGTAAATAAACTGTGGTACATCCAGACAGTGGAATATTATTCAGCACTAAAAAGAAATGAGTTATCAAGCCATGAAAAGACATGGAGGAACCTTAAATGCACATTGCTAAGTGAAAGAAGCCAATCTGAAAAGGCTACATAATATATGATTCCAACTATATGACATTCTGGAAAAGGCAAAACTATGGAGACAGGTAAAAGATTAGTGGTTTCCAGGGATTAGATGGAGCAGGGTAGGGGAGAGATGAATAGGTAGAATACAGAGGATTTTTAGGTCAGTGAAAATATTCTGTATGATACTATAATGATGGATCCAGGTAATTTAACATATGTCCAAACACATAGAATGTACAATACCAAAAGGGAATTCTAATGTAAACTGTGAACTTTGAGTGATTATGATGTGTTAGTGTAGGTTCATCATTTTTGACAAATATACTACTATGGTGGAGAATGTTGATACTGAGGGAGGCTCTTCATATGTGGGAGCAGGAGGTAGGTACATGAGAAATCTCTGTGCATTCCTCTTAATTTTGCTGTGAACTTAAAATTGCTCTAAAAATGAAGTCTTTAAAAAAAACCATTTAGTGACCAGGCACAGTGGCTCATGTCTGTAATCCTGGCACTCCGGGAGGCCAAGACAGGAGGATCACTTGAAGTCAGGAGTTCAAGACCAGCCTGAACAAGAGTGAGACCCCGTATCTACTAAAAATACAAAAATTAGCGAGGTGTGGTGCCATGCACCTGTAGTCCCAGCTACTCGGGAGGCTGAGGCAGGAGGATCACTTGAGCCCAGGAGTTTGAGGTTGCTGTGAGCTAGGCTGATGCTGTGGCACTCTAGCCCAGGTGACAGAGCGAGACTCTGTCTCAAAAAAAAAAAAAAAAACTAAGGAGATCCGAATAAAAAATGAACTTTAGGGGGGAAAAAACATTTAGTAAGTGTGCCACTCTGGTACAAGATGTTGATAGTAGGGGAGTCTGGATGGGGCAGCAGGAAGTGTATGAGAACTCTCTGTACCTCTGCTCAGCTTTGCTGTGAACCTAAAACTGCTCTAAAAAATAAAGTCTATTTACAAAAGAAAAAGAAAAAAATGGTAGTGTTATGAAAGCATTTTGAAATGTAAAAAGAATGTAATCTCTTTTTATTTTATATTTCTAAGTATTATAACCTGAGCCAGGGGCTATAATCTAACTGCAATATGGCACTGCTCTGCTTGGGAACCTTCAAAATCAAAAGCTGACTTGGACTTAGAGATGAACCAAAGAAAACTGTGTGACTATAAAGTCATTTTTAGAATACAAGGACCTCCAGCAACATCCACTAATATTCATGCCAAGTTATTGAACTCATCTAATGCAACTGACACTATTTTATTGTGACCTATAGTCTATATAGACTGTGCAGACCATAGTTTACATTGGAATTCACTCCTGTGTTTTAGAGTTGTTTAGGTTTTGACAAATGCAGGATACAATGTACCCACCATAACAGTCTCGTACAGAACAGTTTTACTGCCCTAAATATCTCCTGTACTCCACCTAGTCGTCCTTCTTCATAACCAAACCTCTGTCAACCACTGATCTTTTTACTGTCTCTATAGTTTTACCTTTTCCAGAATGTTCAGATTTTCTTCTGTTATCTTCTAGAAGTTCTAGAGTGTACATTTTACAGTTAGATTTGTGATACATTTTCAGTTAATTTTTGTAAAGAATGTAAGTTCTGTGTCTAGATTTATTTTCCTACATATGAATATCCAGTTTTCTGTACCATTTGTTGAAGACTGTCCCTTCTCCATTAAATTGCCTTTGCTCCTTTGTCAAAAATCGGTGGACTCTATGTGGATCTGCTTCCGTGTTCACTATTCTCTTTTGATCTATTTATCCACTCTTTTGCCAATACCACACTGTCTTCATTATTAAAGCTTATTAAAGTAAGTCTTGAAGTAGTGTAGTATTAGTCCTCAAATGTTCTTTTTCTTCAATATTGTGTTGGCTATTGTGCATCTTTTGCCTTTTCATGTAAACTTTAGAGTCAGTTTGTCAATAACCAAATTTAGCTTCCCTGGGATTTTAATTAGGATTGCCGTATATAGATCAAGATGAGCTTAGATCTAACTACAGTGTAATATAGCAGAATGGTGGTTTCCTGCTAATAAAGAGCTGGGGAAAGGAAGGTGGGAACAGGGTAAGTTAAAATGCCACACAGCTCACTGTTCTTGCCAAGATTCAGACAATTTTCTGGAATAAACACTGCCGGGAATGTTGCAAGCTGCTGGTAATTACTAGAGTTCTGAAAAAGTTTATTTTGACAGTTTTTGTTCATGTTCTTATTGCTTTATGGAAAAGTATATTTTTAGAGATCTGTACTCTACTATGCCAGAAGTGTGTCTCCCTCACAAGTAAATGTTAACATTACAAATTCTGCCCAAATTTTAGTAAATACACAGAGGTATTTTTTTAAATCATATTCTTTTTCCCTAGAGAGAGGAAACATTATCAATTTAAGTGAAAAATACACTGGAAAAGGTATCAGTAGGTTTGAGTTTCAAAGACGACACTGCTTTCTAATAACGGTGCACCATTGGGCAATACTTGTCAGCCAACCTGATGGTTTGAATGCTTACCCTGTCATAGAATTAGGGGAAGTATGATGATTTTTCCGGGAAAAACACTATTCCCAATAAACAAACACTACATGTGAGTTAGTATTACATGAAACTACTCTTTGTATCTATATTTAAATTTAATGTTGACCTGAAAGTTTAAAAGATTTCTTTCAAGCTCAAAACTAAATTTGCCTATAGACATTAATAGTAAATAGCAGATTTATTAGTGAGAATCCTGTCATGCTTTGGCTTTCAACTTATATTCTCTTTTGGTTATTTGAACCAAAGGGTTTCTACATAAAACATAATTTGTTTAAATTTAAAAAGATGGTTTAAATTTCATAGGCTCTATGTCTTATTCAAGCCTCAGCATTTTCGTACATTGATTTCTTTAATCAATGTCTAGTATCCTACGTTTACAAATTAACATTTTTCACAATAAATGTGTTAAATCATTAAATTTATAACTTTCATTGTGTTTATCTGACAATCACTTTAGTCTTTTACTGTACCTCACATGTTACTTGATAGGTATTCCATTTTGTTTACATCATATTTGCACTACTTACAGAGTTTATTTGTTTTCTTTTAACAGGAGGTACACTCAGTGAAATCTGCAAACTTTCAAACAAGTTTCATAGTATAATTCCTGTGAGATCTGGCCATGAAGACCTGGAGCTCCTGGACCTTTCAGCACCATTTCTTATACAAGGAAAATCATATCACTATGGGTACGTTTTCAACTTGGGGAATTTTTAGAATTAAAAACTATTTAAGTGTAATTTTTATTATCCTATTAGTTACTATATGCTCAATGGAAACTTAGTGAGTACGAACTTACATGTACTAAGGGATAGAATGGATAATAGTGAACATTTTACATAGTAAGGATCAGTGTTGTTCCCTAAACTTTTCTTCCAATTGTGTGTATATATGTGTATACTGGGACATGATATAAAATGAATTTCTTACTGTGAGTTCTTGCTAAAAATGTTTAAAAGTTAGCACTAAGGGCCGGGCGCAGTAGCTCACGCCTGTAATCCTAGCACTCTGGGAGGCCGAGGCAGGCGGATCATTTGAGCTCAGGAGTTCGAGACCAGCCTGAGCAAGAGCGAGACCCCGTCTCTACCAAAAATAGAAAGAAGTTAATCGGACAGCTAAAAATATATAGAAAAAAATTAGCCGGCATGGTGGCACGTGCCTGTAGTCCCAGCTACTCGGGAGGCTGAGGCAGGAGGATCGCTTGAGCCGAGGAGTTTGAGGTTGCTGTGAGCTATGATGATGCCACAGCACTCTAGCCTGGCAAGACAGTGAGACTCTGTCTCAAAAAAAAAAAAAAGTTAGCACTAAGGTGTTTACCTAGAATTGGAATTACTGGATCGTAAGGTATGCATAATTTTTGCTTTATAGGAAAATACTAGGTTGTTCTTCCAATGGTTTTAACAATTTATGGTTCCATCAATAGTGTATAAAAATTTTAATTTCCACCGAGTTCTAGTACTTGATATTAGTCTAATTGGTAATTCCTTATGAGCATCAAATGGTATTCATGATGCTTTTGTCTGTATTTCCTAGATGACTGGTACATTTATGCAGCCCTCATCTTTATTGGCTACTTAGTTTTCTATTCCATGAATTCCATGTTCACATCTTTTATCTTTTTCTTTGTGGTTATTGATCTCTTTTTTTGGTCCATGTGTGTGTGCATGCATATGATAGATTGTAAAAATTCTTTCTATGTTAGAGATACTAATCTTTTGTCAGTTACATCCATACTTGTGTATCCTGTACCTTTTTAACTTTATGGTTTGTTATTTTTATAGATTTTTTAATAATATTAATATAGACATATTTTACCAAAATATTTTCCAAAACCTTTAAAGTTTTGAAAAGCTTTCCTTAATTTGTCTGAACCTGTTGCTTTTTAGTAGAATTTAGATGTGAAAGTTACAGATACCAGAATATAATCACTCTTTTTCAGATCCAAACAGACTAGAGCTGGGAGAGAACAAAGTGGGAGGGCTCATGTTTGCATGTCTGTTAAAGGCTGTCTCAAGGACTTTCTGAAATAATCCCACGAGAAATTCTTTCTTGAGAAGTGCAGCAATTCAGATAAGATGTTTTTGAAAGGACACCGGCCCGGTAGAGGCATGTCTACCAGTGAACTGACTCCAGTTCTGGCTTTGAGTCTCCAAAACCAATGAACTTGGTTTCCAAGTAGCTTATGTGAACTTCTTCTTTTGCCAATAAAAGTTTCCCTTTAACCTCCCCTCTTAAGATGCATAGGTGGTTTGCCATAGCTGTGCATTTCTTGTTATAATCTTTTCTGATTCCCAAATAAATTGAACATATTTGAAGATTTTTTTTCTCTGATTTTTTGTTGTTGTTGATAAGACTAATGGTTGCATTTTTTTATTGGTTATATATTTTTTAAGGTTTTGTATTTTATTAATGAAATTTTTCTAGAAAAATATTTATTTCATTTATTTTTTAAATTTAAATTTATTGGCATATGTTGATAGTATTTTGATGATTTTTAAATCTCTACTTTACTCATGAATATACTTAATATTGTTTCTTTGTACAGTCTTTTATTCCTTGACCTTTTTGTGCCAAAGCAAATAGCCTTTGTTCATGTTGATGTTGTCTATTATTTTACTAGTGCTCTTATCTTTGTCTTTCTTTACTTTCTATAGGTTTCTTCAATTTTTCTTTTTTAAACTTTATCAATTAAGTGCTTACCTCACTTACCTAATTAATGTTTAATATATTTTAATATTTATATTTGTCTATAACTTCCCCCTGAGAAAATAGTCATAGCTTTATTACAAGCTTTGATATGCAGTGTTTTTCTTGTCATTCAGTTCTAAATGTTTCATAATTTCCATTATGATTTCTTCAAAACATAAATTATTAGATGTGTATTTGTAAGTTTTCATACATTTATTTTAGGTGCTATGTTTTCATTTATATTTTAGTTTTATTGCTTTTTAGCCAAATTGTGTGATACATTTCATAATCCTTTGGGATTTGTTCCACTTTGCTTTATCCTAGATGTGTATGTTCAGATTTATGTATATTGCATGTGTTTTTAAAAAAGAATGTGTATTCTTTAGTAGGTGAATTAGGGTTTTCTGTATGTCCATTAGATCAGGCTTGTTAATCATAATTAAAACTTCTATTTTTTTTGTAATTTTGTCTATTTAATCACTTTCTTAGAAAGGTTTGTGTAAATGCCCGCTGTAGTTGTGGGTTTGTAACCTTTTATTCTGTCAACATTTGCTTTATATATTTTGAGGCTCTTTTATTGGTTCATTAAGGTTAAGTATTATTTTATCTTCCTGGTGAATTCATTGTTCTGTATATTAAAGACCTAATTCTAAGTATTATTTTCTGCCTTAAGATTTACAGTTACTAATATTTTTTATTATTGTATCAGCTCTTTTTGCAGGGAAGGGGAGTTGGTAATAGCTTAGTATCTTACTCTCATCCCTTTGCTCTTTCAAGTTACTGGGTCATCCTATTTCAGTATGTCACTTATAAATAAAAGCTTATGGCTAAATTTTAGTTTTAATAGGTGAGTTTAAAATATGTTTTCATTATTGATATATTCAGTTTATATTTCTCCATTTTTTATTGTTTCATATTTATGTTTTTACTGGTTTTTCCTGTTTTAAAAATTATTTTATTTTTTTCT